GAGCAAGCGGTACTTCACTCACAAAGGCATCAGAACAAAAAAAATCAAGAAAAAATCAGAAAATCAGAAAAAAACTAAGATAAAACCACATGAAAATCAAGGAAAAACAATCAGGAAAGATCAGAGAAATCGGTGTACGTGTACTAAGCCTGATTTCATAGAGAGGTACCCTCGCCCGCGTCATAGAGCTCAGGGCGCCGCTCTGTGCAGGGACATCACGCAGGCCTCCAGCAAAGACACGTTCGAGACGGCCAAGCTCGCCCCGCACGAGGTGCGCCTGGTGGTGGCGCCGCTGCAAGGTGCGCTCCAGGACCCCGGCCTCACGCTCTGGGCGCGCTCCGAGGCCGCGCCGTTCGTCGACCGCCTCCTCAGCTACATGAGCACGACGAGCGACGTGGTGGAGAACCTGAGCGGGCTGCCGCTCGCCCTGCAGCACCTGGCCGTCGTGGCCCTGCCCGGGCTGCGCGACGCGGCCTCCGCCGCGGGCCTCGTGCTGCTCGACGAGGACGTGCTCCTCGGCTTCCACCCGTCCTCGCCGCCGTCCGCGCACCGCGACGCCCTGCTGTGCCTCGCCGAGGCCGTCGCCGAGCCCGCGGTGCGCGGCGCGGCGCGGCCGCTGCGCTGGGGGGACGCCTGGGCGGCGCGCAGCCTCGCCGCGCACCTCCGGCACCGCTACGCGGACCAGGTACAGTACTTGCTGTCCGCGGACGCGACGCGAGTGCCGTGGGGTAGGTCGAGTTGGTGGAGTCAGACAATCTTATCTTACCGTCGGGGTGCTGTTGCACTGCAGGTGGCGGGCAGGTGGCGGCTGGCCGAGCAGCAGATGGCCCTCCAGATGCAGGACGTGCTGGAGGCCGGGGGCTGGCCCGCCGGCGCGGCCTTGCCCACCGGCGACGACAACACCGTCGTCAGCAGGGCCGATGTGGACAGAGGCGAGTCGCATGCTCACATCTGAATCTGAATGATGCCCGCGGGCTATTCCTAACCCACCCTCACCTCGCTGCTGCCACCAGGGGCCGCGCTCCTCCGCATGTTCGAGTACGCCATGAGCCCGAAGCGGTTCGACAACGCGGTACGAAACTTCTACCAGCTGAGCGCGCAACGCGCCGTGTGCGTCGACGATCTGTACGACGCCCTGGCCGACGCCACGTACGACGGCGCGGACGACCTGCCGAGCGGAGTGACCGTGCCCGTCGTCATGGCGTCCTGGACCAGGCAGCCCGGCTACCCTGTCGTCACGGTCGTCCGCGACTACGAGGCCAACTCCATGACCGTGTCCCAGAAGGCGTTCTCGTGGTCGTCGGACGCCGCCCAGGACGCCGAGTGGTGGCTGCCCGTGTCGTACACGTACGCCGAGGAAGGCACGAGAGACCGAACGCCGAACGCCACGCCCCAGGCCTGGCTCGTACCCGGCGAGAACGACATGTCCGTCGAGATGGTGCACCTCGGCACGTTCGACTGGGTCTACTTCAACGTAGATCAGGGAGGTAAGTACGTCCTTCTGGGTGTGCTGCTTCTCGCTTCCTCTTCTGAACGCACGCAAAGTGGGCATTTGGCGCACGAAAATGGGTGCAATAAACCATTCCGGTAGAGAATAATGCGGAAAGCAGGAAAACGGAAGTCACTATGTTACCGGGTGTCCGTAAGAATACGCGGCAGCTCGATGGGTTGCCTACGCACTAGCGTACATCATCGAGCTGCCGCGTATTCTTACGGACACCCCCTATACCACACTTAATTCCGTTTTCTGGTTACTCGCATTCTTTTTCATTTTAGCTTTACTGAAATGGTTTATCGCCCACTGTGACCCCTGACCCCCTCGCGACGTCCACGCAGCGCCCTACCGGGTCAACTACGACGTGTCCAACTGGCAGATGCTCATCAAGGAGCTGCAGGGGCCCAAGTACGACGTCAAGCTGGCGCCGACCTGGCGAGCGCAGCTGCTCGGGGACGCACTCGCCCTCGCTCGTGCCGGTACGTCAACGACACCGTCAACGGCCTGAGTTGGTCGAGACCGGTCGTCTCAATGACCCCTGTGTGCTCCAGGAGAACTGGACTACGCCCTGGCGCTGGACCTGGCCACGTACCTGGGGCAGGAGGACGACGCGGTGCCCTGGATGGTGGCGCGCCGCTCTTTCGCCTTCCTGGAGGACCACCTGGAGGGATTGGCGCTGGAGTCGCTCCGGCAGTTCGAGGCCCTCGTGCTCAAGTCCGTGTACCTGGAGGCCCAGTTCCAAATGGACGGCGAGGGCGAGGACGGCGCCGGCCCGGATGTACTCTTGCGCCGTGAGCTGGCGGCGACCTGGGCGTGCGCGGCAGGACTGCAGCAGTGCCTGGACCACGCCGACGGGTTGTACAGCCAGTGGCGGAACCAGGGGAGGTATAGTACTGCAGGCGGGACTGCTGTGGAAGTAGCGCACTGTAACCCCTGCCTGCCTGACGACGGCTCGCCCCGTGTCCAGCCAGCTCAAGAGAGGCTTCGCGGAGGCCGTCCTGTGCCGTGCGATGTCCAAGGGCGACGCCGGCACTCTTGACGTAATCCTGGCCGCGCTCGGCAGCAGTTGGCTTGTCGGAGGGGAGCGACTCGGCTACGTCCGCGCGGCGAGCTGCGCCTCCAGCGAGGCCCTTCTGGAGAAGTGAGAACAGAACCGCGACCTGGCCAACCAGCTGGGCAGACCCCGAAAAAAAGGCTTTCATAATTCTCGTATTTACGCAGGGCCGTGCAACAGGCGCTGTCCGAGTCTGGACCATTCATGGCCTCAGAGGTGGGTGACCTCCTCCTCGCCGTCGGCTCCAGGAAGCCCGCAGGGTGGGCGCTGGCCACACGGTACCTGGGCAACACTCATCAGAGGATCTTGCACAGGTGAGCTTAGCTAGCGCCCCCCCCCCTCCCCTTTTCCCACACACACCAACTCCTCTTTCTCTCCCGCAGGACGGGGTACGTCGGTTTCGTGCGGAAGCTGTCTCTCCACCTCGCCTCCAAAGTGTCCTCGCAAGACCAACTCGACAAGGTAGTTGTCCTCCTCCTGGGCTGGGTTAGCCCGAGCCTCGCCGTTTTGCAACCGTGCGTCGGGATCCGTGACGTGGCGCCCCCTGTCCTCTGTTTACAGCTGGTGTCGGCGGTGCGAGCAGCGGCCGGGGACGACGCCGAGGTGCTGGAGGCTGCCGTCCGGCAGGAGGTGGCCGTCAACCTCGACTGGGCGCAGCGACACGGCGACGAAGTGGCGGACTGGCTGTGGGTGTACCTGGGTGCGTCGCGTTCGTCGACCACGGCCGCCCCCACCACGACCACGACCACCACGCCCAGCACGACGGTGGTCTCGGCGAGCACGACGCCTGTGCCGGCCGGTGCCAGTGCCCCAGCGGCATGGTCCTGGCCCGCCACCGCCGTCGCTCTCCTTGTTGTCAGCATCGGACGTGTCGAATAAAACATTCATTTAAAAAAAAATGAGGAGAAAAAACTTTTGAATGGATGCTACTGTGTCTTTTATTCGTCACTTGAAACGTGGACATGTTCTCCCCGACAGAAAATAATGCGACGGGCTTGGGCGCCGGTCGGTTAGGCAACCCAACCAACAGGTCTGGCAAACAGGCTGCTGCCTCACCCCCACCTCATCCCATCCCCCTCCGCTCCGCTCCGCCGAAAGGCCCCAAACAGCTCAAACTGTCAACATAGTTGTCAACACGACTTTTCGTTTCCTAACTATACCGAACTATATAGTTTTTGCATGAGTTCAACTAGCTGGAAGTAAGATTTTGCGTCCGTTTCTGAAATTCTCGACCTAGAGGTTCGTTATGGATTTATCGAAAGTAAAGGATGATAGAAAGCTGGAGATTTGCCGCTGGTATTACAAGGGTGAGTCATTTTCCACTTGAAACGTAAAAGGTGTGCGGTTTATTGTGTCTGCTATTAAAATGAAAACGGGAATAGGCTAGTGATTTATAGCAACGATTGCGTAACCAACAAAATTTCGAATATGCCATTCTTTTCGACCGACTAACCTATCTATGACAGTAAATATAAGCTAGTACTCAGTAAAAGGAGCAGAAATATGGAGCAGTTCCCTTTTAGACGCATTTTACCATACCATATTAAACGTTATTCTTTTCCTCTCCCCTCAATTTTAGGTGGATGGGCGTTTCTTCCTTTCCTATGGGCTGTAAACTTTGTGTGGTTCTACAAAGATGCATTCCAACGTCCACCATTTGAAGAACAAAAACAAATTAGAGGATGTAAGTGTTTGGTACTCAAACTATGCAGCTAAATTATGGCAGTCAAGAGTTTCTTTATTAATACTTTTTTCTTTTTTTAATTTCAGATGTAATTTTTTCTGGGATAGGCGCTCTAATATGGAGTATAGCGCTTACAACGTGGATCATCATATTTCAAAAATATCGTGTTGAATGGGGTAGTGTAGGTGATGAACTGACATTCCTAATTCCTTCTGGAAGTCTTTAAAATAGGTATTTATTTTATTTTTTTATAACAAACCTAAGATTTTTATTAGCACTTGATGTCCTCTAGAATGTGATGGTTGCAAACTGAAGCTTTGTTATATTCATCATTGATTTTGAGAACTGTTCACAATTTTGATGAAAATACGCAACTAAACTTCTGTGATAAGTTTGATGTTTGATTGTAACGAGTGACGTACCTGCTTTGAGTCCTTGAAATATGTTTTGTTATGAGTATTTTAAGCAACCTGTACTATTTGCCACAAATCATTGTCTGCAAGTCTGCGGTAGTTGACTGGATAATTAACTAAATATCTGGATCTAACTGATTTTTTTTTTAAACCTCTGTTGAAAATTAAATCATATTAACAATTCTCAACATTTTTATGCTTTGGAACCTAGCTTACTCGCAGATTATTATCACTCCGTTAGCTGCTATAAAAAGAGTGTTCACATTACATCGAAACCGGTAATAATTTTATTCACTCTGTCCAACATAGTAACACAGACTTTCACCTCTTAACTCCTGTACCAACACAAGCTTAAATGAAAGTAATGCAAACCGAACTTCAGGGTAATAAATTTTATTAATCACATACATACACATGTTGATAGTACAATTCAGTTTACAGATTGAATTTTTTTGATAATTTCAGACAATTTACCACACAAGAGAAGATTTGGGTCCGGAGTGGCAACTAACAGACAACTAATGACAGGCAACTACAATAGACAGCCAACAATAATTATTTTATCAAGATGGATGTGATTTTGAGAAGACTTCAGTTATCACAATATGTGACAAAGAACCACTCAAGAAGGATTTCATTTGGGGCTATTTTAATTTGTTACAAAAAAAGTGCAAGTAGGCACTTCTTGTAACCGTTTTAAGATGACTTACCCTATTTATTCTTCTCAATTAAGGACCAAAGAACAAAATAAAGAAAAGTCAATCTAAACTTCGGTGATTAGAAAATCCTCAAATGATTAATAGTGATACAACCGATTCATGGTAATTAAAGGCACTTGAGGTAATTTGGCTTTCATTGACTATAAAGCAATTCATGTAATACTACAGTTAAGTGCTTTGAGTAATAGTGGGCAATTTAATTTGCCACCCATCCTATTACTGTGTCAGCACAACTAGATAATCAAAGGCTTTGAGTGTAAGACACTTGAAATGACAGCCACAATTCTTCAAAACTCACTAGAATGTTCGTATTTAACAAGTTAGATCTTAAAATACTAGCCCTTCCCATTATAAAGCAATTGAGCATTCACAAAATGATTAGAATGAAAGCAATTGTCACTGTCTTAACCTTGGCTGAGAAGATTAAATCATAATAGATTAGCAACCTAGAAAAGGTACAGTACTGATACTGATTTTCACAGTGAGAAGTGCTTTCAATCTACTCAGAAAATGACTATTCTCAACTTAATAACTGACAAAAATATATCTACAACTCAGCCTTAAAAATTCCTTAAGGGGGAAACAACTCACTATCACTTGAAATAAGGATGACACGCACCCAGAAATTGTTCCACAACCACAGTAAATAACCCTTAATACATATATGATAAGATCACAAACCACATTTGCCTACTACATATCACCACCATAAACGTAACTAAAATCTATCACTTTTCACAGCACTGCCATACCCTATGTCCAACACTAACCATCAAATAAATATTAGCCTCACAATCCAGAGGTTTTTTCAACAAAACTACAAATTTACTTGGTACTTAAAATTGTTAACAATAAAATGGAATGTAGTTAAATGTGACAAGTTAGACATGAATGACTAAAGTGGTCGTTGACATGCTACAATAGCCATGACATTCCTGGAGTTTCATTACACTGTTGTAATCACTGCATGTATTTAAAAAAGTGGTAACGAAGCACAACCCACCCTATTATGTAGGATACACATATTAGTAAAAAGGTGAGTCACCACAAAAATAGAATTAACTTTTTAAAAGGTATTTGCTGCATTTCACTGGGTAAAGGACTCCAAAAGATATTTAGATATAAAAGGGACAAGACAGAATATGCAACAAAATAGGTCCAAATGACACCTGTTGCAGAAATCATTACTTAAAAACATACTATGAAATATTGACTAAATAAATACAAAGCAGTAGTTGCAAGAAGTGAATTGTACAATGACTTTATACAGATGTGAAAGACAAACACTAATGTCAAGCTCAAAATGTACACATTAGCAGCATCATGGGGGTTACATTTTTACAGATACATCAAAGAATTAAAAATATGAACAGTTGCATAAGAAAAGGAAAACACTGAATCATAAAGTAAAACCCAAATTTAAAGGGCAATTAGAAATGGACTTGACCCAGAACAGCCCTTGTCATTTAAAAAAATTTAAAACTTTGCAAAAGTAGTTAAACATTTAAAATAGCATTTTAACAGCCATAAACTCACAAATGGAGGGTAGATATTCCCTTAAGAAAAATTCTTATTTCTGTCTAAAATACAAACTTTCTCATAAAAAAAAATATCCTCCAGAATCACAAAAACTACTCCTCAATAATGAGTAATCCCAACTTCAAAGTAAAGAAACATGACCGACAGAACTATCAAGGACCCTTTCTTACAACAGTACAGAAAAGGAGCTCCAGAAGACGGGGGATACAGGCTATCAGCACACGGACCAAGAACCCACGAACTGTTTACCTCACAGACTTGAAGCACTGTGAGACCTGTTGGCTTTTCTTCCAATTAATCTTGAGCTTCTTGTATTCATTCTCTTTCCAAATGAAATAATTTCCTGTTGTTGCTGCTGCTGCTTACCAATGATGTGGGGGGCAAAATTTGAAATGCACTTTGTCATATCTTCTAGTCTTCGAGAGAGCAATACATTCTTCAGTCTCTCAGCATTTAACTCTCTCTGTAGTTGAGCTTTGCTAAGGTTGCCAAGAGGGCTCACAAACCTGTGGGTGAGCAGGGCAAATGCTGTTGGTCTTCTTTCTGGATTTGGGTCAATCATTTCCTGAGGGGAAGAAAATACCAATAAGAACAGGTAGAACAAAACACTAAGGAAAGAATGAAAGTGAACTGGACACTTACAGTTAAGAGCTGTTTGAAGTCATGGCAGTAATGTGTCAAGTCTGGGAGCTTGCCATCTCTCAACTCAAGCCACTGAGGTCCATTCTTCGGAAGAGGACCAGCACCAGCTGCTTCAAGCATGGTCAAACCTGAGACAGAGAATTCAGTAAGCCAGAATCTCAAGAGAGTTTAATAAATAAAGGGAATGAAATGATTTAACCACATACCTAGTGCAAAAATATCAGCCTTTGGTAAATGATCAAAATTTTCCTGCAAAATTTCAGCAGGGAGGTAGCGGCAGTCACCCTCTTCAACCTGAGGATTCGTCACTGAAGTTACATGACCCAGATCACCTAGAAGAGTCAAAAACAAAAGTTAAACCTACTGCTTCATAGCCTGTCATAACTAATCACAGACAAAAACTACAACAAAATAATCTTACCAATTTTGTAAGTAACTTCTTCCACTGTATCATCTTCTTCAGTGGTGTCATCTGCTGAATCATAGCCAACAGATAACAATCTTTTTTCTCTTATTAAAAAAATATTTCCAGGCTTGATATCCATGTGAACTAGTTTCATAGAATGGATATATCGAAGACCCTCTCCAATGTGCCTGAGCATCTGTCTCAATTCCTGCTCTGTGAATTTAGTTCCATTTTGTTTGTGTCTTTCAATTGCTTGAGCCAAACTCCCACCATTACAATATTCATTTTGAATTATCATATGGTTGTCTTCAGCCCATGCAGAAAAATATTTTACAACATGGGGGTGCTTGCCTAACACAGCATGAGCATAGACCTCATTTAAGGCAACTTTCCTGAAAGTATAGAGAAAAATTTAGTTTTATGTGATTTAGTAAAGTAATATTATCCAAGCAAAACAAACCACCTAAAAATGTACATACTCTTTATTGCTCCCTGTAACTGGTCGAATGCTCTTTTTGACAGCATATTCAATACCATCTAGTCTTTTCGTGCATTTGTAAACACTGCCAAACTCCCCAGTTCCAAGCAATTCGTCTTCAATGAATTCCAAATTGTACCGAGGGATGTTTGCATCACTCAAGGCCAGTTTCTTTGTAGGTGGGTCCACCTCCATGTCTGACTCATCAGATACTGAGGTAACCTTGATGGAAGGGACTATTGTACCAGGAGGGGACCTGCACAAAGGACAAAGACATATTAGCTTAAGTGAAATGTTCAAAGTGGGAGTCTCTCAGCTGCTCAGAAGTTTATCACATTATGAGGTCCAGGTAAATGTCATAGCCTCAAGGTGATATATGAATGGCTTTTCCAAGGCAATTATAAATAAAAGTTATTCTTGAAAAGCAATAGTGGGATTGGTTTTGTTGTAATCACAGGAAAAAAAATTAATCCATGATCTACAACATTGATTGACTAATTCATTGATAGGACATGGATTATGTACTCTTAAGTTGACCATATCTAATTTTCAACAATACCGTACATAACACAAAATTTCAAATCTTTGGCACTTTAGCGAGCATTATTGTGTCGCTTCTAAATATAACTTCACTTGTCAACCACTTGTCGAAATAAGTTGTCATTCATAAACTGTCAGATCAATGACAATCTTAATTTCAAAAACACTAAAGAAATTGCATGAAATGAAGCGACACCATCTACAGTCTAGTGCCAATCTATGTTTAAACCACCACCACCCCTTGCCACCTGTCGCAGCAACAGCTGTCGAAGCAATTCACCCCAAATTAACTCACCCGCTCTGATTCAGGCTGGCCCTGGAACGCTTCTTCGAGGTGAGCATCATGCCGGTGGGAGTGAAGGGATTGAGGTTGGCGGCCAGCTTGTCCTGCGGCGCTAGGGCCGTGGCCTGGGTGGCCGCGGTCAGGGACAACGGCGTCCTGGGCCTGCCCCTCAGACCCAGGTCGCGCTCGCGCTCCTTCTCCAGCAGGGGGAGCAGGCGCCCGCGGGCGCTGGGCACCGGCAGGGGCGTCAGGGGCGCGGAGCTCTTCTCCAGGATGGTCTTGGGCGTGGCCGGCGAGTCCATCAGGCGCAGGGACTTGACCCGCTTGTAGGGCGGCGAGTCCGTGCACCCGACAATGGAGCCGGCGCAACTCGAGCCGCGGCTGAGGTACGAGAAGGTGGGCGAGGACGTGGCCTCCGGCGAGGACTCCACCGAGCTGTGCGAAAAGTCCAGCTTCCTGGGCAGAGGGTAGGGCCCAGGGCCCGGGCTGTCCATCTCCTGTGTCGTTTCCAGCATGTCGTCGCCGGGCGAGCTCACCAAGACGCTGTCCATCGGGTTGTCGTTCTCCTCTACTCCCGGCTCGCACTCAAACCGAACGGTGCTCTGCATGGCGGCGCCAGGGTGAGACCAACGGCCGAAACAAACAACATTCACTGTGGATGGGTTCAAATAAACGTTCAAAACACGGACGCACACAAAGCTTCACACAACACACACGCGTTAGGCAAAAATGTCGTTATGGCGGGTAAACTACTTTGCATCATGGGACGTTTAAACGACGCTGCTCTTCTGTTTTCTTGGGGTGCGTTCACATTCCCGCCTCCGGCCCGGTCGCGAGCGGTCGTTTAGCTCCGCCACCGCCGCCTTCACAGTTTTGTTCTTCTCCCGCTCGAAAAAAGCGGGAATCCCCGTTCTGTTGAATAACGGCTAACCGCTGACGAAAATTTAATCAAGTATAATAAGATAAAAGAGCAGTTGAAGAGTGTCCGTTATTTTAGTGAAATGTCTTCAAAACGTCACTGTTACATGAAACGTGCTTCGTTAACAATGGTGTGATGAATAAAACGCAGAAGGGGTTATTTGGTTATTTCTCCTTTGGCGCCACTGTCGTTGTCCCCCCTACCCCACGATCAAACATACAGACGAAGCTTGGTCGATTCCGTATAACGTTAGACGTGATGCCATAAATTGCCCGCGGGGTCTCTCGGCTCAAGTTGCGTCGCGCCGACCCCGATTCGCGTCTCGTGAATCGTGAATCCCCTCGAGCAGAGCACCGATCCGACCGCGCACTTGTCCTTCGTTCCGTGTTTACCCAACTTGCGCTCGGCACGTTTAATTATATTTCGCCCTCCTTATCGCGCCGCTGTACCCAGCCGCTGTTTGTCGTTTTTACGGGACCCTGTAAGTAACAAGTTGCATTGGGAATAGCCGCCCGCATTGATACGCGCGCTTTGTTGGCATGTTTTCTGGTCATCGGGGCACATTGCTCGGCACTCCCTAACCTATAAACAAATATTGCAGTGGAGTGCAGAAGCGAGTGTCGCGTGTCTCTGAAACTGCGTATGTCGTCTTCCACGTTTCCTCTCGTGTTTTTTTTCGTTCCCCGCTATCTCATTTACATCGGCCGCTATTTCCCCACCGCGCCTCTCAGCCTTGGCTGCCCCCCACGAGCTCCTGCGATGCGCTAGGCTTGTGGGGAACCCCACCGAGGATGTGGGCGTCACTGTACTAAAGCTGCCTTTATATAAGCTCTCGCTCGCGTGCGACTGCAGTTTTATCACATCATTTCCATCTGTCATGCGTCCACCGTTATAGGCTTCTCTTTCAAACAGATAATTTTAAAGAAATTTGTTTCTTTATATTTTCAGAGCTTAAAGCTACATCAAGGAGCAAGAAGAAAATGCCAACATTTGCTGTGAAAGCGGCAAAGAGTGTGACTGAAAGTAGTTCTGTAGAGAAGGGTGAGGAGCTGAAGGTTGACTTTCCATATCAGAGAGTGAGTTTGAAGTCACCACAGGCAGAGCCAGCAGGAAAGACACCGAACTTTGGAATTGCGGTGACTCAGAGACATCCAGGAAGTCCGCCTAAGAATGGATCCCTGGGAGGGAGTGAGGTCATTTCTAAAACGACTGAAACAGTCAAGCAGTTGACCATTAATGGATCAGGTAGCAATGATACTGCTCAAAATACCAGAACAATGGTAAGACTTGGTGGTGCCTGGGGCCTGATCAAGCCAGACATCTCAAGCTCAAATGGTAAGGTTCCCATTGTGATGCAAAAATCCAAGAAGCCAGAAGAAAATGGTAAAGAAATATTCAAACCACCATTTCCATTTACTGAACAACTGCAGAAAAAAATGAAACTGTCCACAGTGCCAAAAGTAGTGCCACTCATTAATACAGTGGGGAATCAATCTAAACTGATTCCTTTGACATTTCCACCAGCGAACCAAACTTCTACAACAACTCCTACAACTGGGGTTAACAGTTCAGTATCCCAATCTCAGTCTAAATTGGTAAAAAAAGATACTTCAAAATCCATGTCAATCTTAGAAGCTACATTAACGTCAGCCCCCAAAGACCAAAGTAATGGTACTAATATTCCAAAATCAAGAACAGTAACCTCATCCTCTTCAAATTTACCTTTGACCTCTGATGATCAATCCTTAAATCATGAGAATTCTCTTGATAAAGGAACAAATCCATCAGCAGCAATTTCCAAGTTGATTAAGAAACCAAAGTGTGTTATAAGCTATGAGAAGGGTGTCACAAGGCTTGTTGCTGTCGAGAGAAGAACAGTGACCATGGTTGATGTATCAGTGCAGGTATCTATTCCTCAGTTTGATGCTGAAAATCAAGGACAATTGTTGACCGTACCTACCAATGCTGTCTCATCAGAAACAGGTAAAATCATTCGGTAAGGAGTGGTCTGTCCGACTCCAATTTTTCATCACATTTTTACAACATTTTGTCGTGTTTTGCAACCTGTAGGGGCTCTCGTATGGGGGATTTATGTAGTGAATTTGACCTTTCTTAGACAAAAGACGTATATTTCATGTTTGGATGAGGTAAGCACAAGGTACTCAGTTCATAGTAATTTGTGTCATTACTTATATCCTCTTAAATCAATTTATTAATGAAATAACCATAACAATGAAAGTGAACTCTTCCCACAAATTGTATGTGTGAATAGAGCATATTTAAGCCACTGCTTGAGGTGGATTTTCTTACTTGTGTACTTTTTCTGAGTACTGAGCGCTTATCACCATATGAATATGCAGAGACGTGAGATGGTTATCATTTTTCTTTTCAGATTGGGGTCTGGATGTAGATAGATTATTCTCATTTTTTGTTTTATTATTCTAATTGTGTTTTTTGAGGGGGAGGGGGAGGGAGGGCTATTTTTTAATTCCTCATTTGAAGGAATTTTTTTTTCTTTAAAACATGTTGATATTGTTTTGTAAGATACAACATAGTATTTCAAACATTCTGTTTGCATGTAGTTTTTTGTGATTTTATTTCATATTCTTCAGATCATTGTCGGTGGGAAAGCAGTAGTTCTTTCTTAAATGAGAAGTATTGGAAACTTTGCAAGTCTTTTCTCTAAGGATGTTCTTACATTACAATCAACCCATCACCAGAGCATTTTTTAAGAACTCCCAGGTGGCCTGTATTCATTATCTTGAACAGACAATCCATTCTACTATACTGGTTTTTCCTGTGGGCTTGGCAGGAGTAAGAACGAGTTGCCTAATCAAGAAAAATGAATTTATGTGGGCCACCTGGTATAAATGTTCTACTTCATTGAAATCTTGGGTAAAGATATATCTCCTTTTAAATGTCACATCCTTAATGTCAAAGGTCAAATATTTTTTTTATCTCAGATACACTTTCTATATAATTTGTATTTGTTGTAAGCTTGGTTGATTCATTCTTTTGCAAAATATGTTCCGAATGATGAAAATTTGTGATGGAAGGTATGGAATAGGACAGATGATTTCTTAGAATGATATCAAGGATTTGGTATTTCTGGCCTCGAAACAAATCTTGCAGTCAGGTAGAGTACCAATCTTAATCTATCAATAATGCAAGTGCTCATATTTGTGTACTTTCACAATTGACCTCTGCCTTTAAAAAAATTTGGTATTGTTCGTTTCATATTTCTGTATGAAATATTACTGTTATAACTTATTTAAATATAAACTGTCTCAAAATTTGTTTTGAGGACCAGATTAACACCTTGATTCTTGATCTAGATTGAACCTCTTGATGTCCATTGGTAATTCTTTTAATTGATAAATTCAACTGAAGTAAAAATCAAGAGGTTCAGTCTGTGTAGTTAGTTTAATGTAGTCTTGAGTCTTGCATCACCAAAAAATATGAATAAACACAAATGACTGCTGTTTCTTGATTATTTGTTGATGTGCCAACTTTCTCTAATATTTCTTCCAGTGATTTTCTTGTGATATATATATCATCCTGTATGCAATTGTGGTATGGTCTTATGAATGTGAACTCTCAATATTTTGTATGATTAACATTGTTTTTTATTCTGCTTTCTGCTTAGGTTCTATTCAGCCTCAAACAACCTCCACTTTGCCCTTACCTCAGAAACCATTTGTTGTTGTGGATGCAAATGGGAAAAAAGTCTTTGCCATATCAAAACAAATTTTAAGTACCTATGGGGGAGCCAAAAAAATTGTTATTGAGGGAAAAGGGATCAAGCGAAAAGCTGATACATCCATTGAAAGTTTAGTCAATGATGATGTAAATAGAGCTGCCTTACCAATATCAGTAAATATCAGTCAATCAGGGCAACCGTCATTATCTTCATCTGATTCCAGTCAATCTAATCTTCTTTCTGGCAAAACCTTGTCTGATAATCCCCCAGATGCTTCATTATCATTTGAAACTTTAACAACTTCAAGCTGTCAAACGCTTCCTAGCATATCATCCTCTCATCAAAATTTATGTAACTCTTCAAATTCTATTGGTGCACAGTATTGTGATACTGCCCCAAACCAATCAGGTCTTACCGCCAGAATAGGTACTTCTAGCAGACCAACTGTTTTACTTTCTCAGACACCTAGTAGAAGTCATGTCATAACTTCTGATTCTTTGGTTTTGCCTCTTGATGCTCCTTTTCAGTTCGAAGGCAGTTCCTCGCAAGAAACAATTTGTGTGCCTTCAAGCAAAATTCAAACTTTTTCCAAGAATTCGGATTCTATTGTTTTGCCTTTACATTCACCAATAGGAACTCAGTCACTGCATTCTGATGATGCTTCAATGGGTGTTTTCCCAAACTACTTTATTGTCATGCCAAGTTCAAATAATTCAAATATAGATCCTGGAAAGGCTCTAAAAGATGCACTAAATGAGCCGCCCACCTATTCTCCCCTTATGGATTTAATAGACGAGGTAAAGGCTGGCCATCAGAGAAAGACAGTCAGTTCATCATCTCAGCCTAAGAGTAATAATGGGGGGCAAGTTAACAGTACTGTTGTGCCAATGATAACTAAAAACCCAGTTACTAGCTCCTCTAACAATCTCAATGGTAAAGATCATTCTAACCTTGGTAAGGCTGGTGGAAACTTCTCCAAAGGCAAAGTCATTTCTGCTTCAAGTCCCAGTAATGGAGTGTTGGAGATGTCTGCTAAAGGTGACATTGAAAACTTAGTCAGATCTGCTCTCTCAGATTTTAAACAATGTTTGTCTATGAATAAAGACGGACAATAGTGAGTATTCCAAAACATTGTTCTTTCATTTTCAAAATTCTTAATGAAGAGTTAATATTATTTCATTTTATTTATTGTTTTGTTTTACTCCAGCCCAATACATGCTGCAGTAGAGAGCGACGATGTAGCAGCTCTGAAACGTCAGTGCATAGTGTTGAAAGCTCGGAGAGCCTCTGTTGATATCAAAAACCAACAAGATGAGGTATGCAACTTTTCTAAGAAGCTGTATATTTTACTTCCTAAAACCTGCCATATTCAACTAATTTTCATTATTTCAGACTCCTCTTCAACTTGCACTGTACTTCGGCCATACCCCATGCATCAAAGTTCTCCTGGAACATGGTGCCAGTGGAAATTTTTTTGATCAGGATGGAAATTCTTCATTACATCTTGCCATATTGTATGCTGGTGATGCCCTTCGATTTCTTCTGATGTCTGGCAGGTTCTCCCAGTCATTTCTAAATTGTCTTAATGATGAAGGTATCTTTAATTTGCATCAAAATCTTTTTTTGCATTTGTGGTATACATCTGAGTCTATCCCCCCCTCTTTTTAATGAATGCTTACTTTTCACAGGATTTTCGGCTCTTCATCTTGCTGCCCAATCTGATAAGGTTGAAGCTATCAAACTTTTGATAAAATTTGGGGCAGATGTTGACCTTCCTGTAAGTTTGCAGTTATGTTGAATTTAAACCAAGGGGACAGAGATATGTCCAAATGAGGTCTAAAAGAACAAATTGACATCTAAAAAGATGGTCAAGATCACAAAGTTTTGATTGGACCTCACTTTGACAAATCTGTTTCCCCTGACGCAAGTAACACAGATTCATCAATCAATTGGCTAAATTGGAGTACATTGACACCACTGCCAGATTTACAGAATTTAGAATTTGATGCAAATTTGCCATCAAATTGATGTGGTCAATTTGTTGTCAAAATTAGATCAAATTCCACAATTTGAAATATGTCATGGTGACTAACAAGGGAACGTTTTCCAGTGATACAATCAGATTTTAATGGCACTTTTAACTGTAGATGTTAAATCAATGTTCGGCACTAGTCTTTGCTGCCCCGAAGGAGTTTGAAGGTCGTTTAACGCGAATTTAATCAAAAATTCTCAAAATTTATAGCCTGATCTGAACTACACATGCACATAATCTCTGGAACCCTTTATGCTACAGCGCCCTGATTTTGCAAGGAATCATATTCCAGCACATTCTTTCCTTGTCAAAAATTTGAACAAAAGTCTAATGTCACAAAAGTATGTCCGAGGGGG